ATGTTCCCTAAATGCAGGGCAGGCTGAGCAGATATCTCTGGTGGTCTCCTGACAGCTCCCTTCCAAATATTTACATCCCATATCATATCACGGCAGTAGCAAAAGTTTCCTCTCTAACATTTTTTTCCCCTGATTTTTCATTTTTTTATTTTTTTTTAAACTGGAAATAATTCACTGGGTGAAGGTTTCATGAGGTGTTTCTGTTGGTGGGATGTCACTTCTCCCTCACGTGTCCCCCTTGTCACCCCGATGCTCTGGGAGGGGAGTCTGATGGGTGGAAGTGGTTTTGCTAAAGACAAGGACACAGCTGCACGCTGCCAGGCTTGTAATTCCTTGGTGTTAATGCCTGGAAAAGCTCCTGGAACCAGCAAACACCAGGAATTAAAGTGCCTTTCCAAAGGCAAGTTAAGGAGCCCCGAGCCAGGTCAGGCTGAATCACTCCGGCCTTCCTGCCCTCAAAGGCTGCACAACCACCTCCAGATCAGGATTATTCCATTATTTCCCCCCTGAATTTCATCCCATTCCTCTCCAAATATTATCCTTTTGAGGATCAGGACTTCCAGCTTATTTCTATTGTCCTTGAGAAACCCTGAGCTGCTCTTGTCCCCTCCAACACACCTCGAGAGGACCAGAGGAAACGGCCTCAGGTTGTGCCAGGGGAGGTTTAGATCGGATATCAGGGAAAATTCCTTCATGGAAAGGCTTGTAAAGCGTTGGAATTGGCTGCCCAGGGCACTGGTGGAGTCACCATCCCTGGAAGTGCCCAAAAACCACCAACAGTGACAACAGAACAAGAAAAGCTGGAAAAAACATCATTCCTCGGCCTTTGGCTCTTCACTGAACTCTCCTGGCATCAAACAGCCTCAAAATCAAGTCACAGCAAAACTAAAAATGAAGGTGAAGTCACCCTGGAGCTGGAAGATGCTTCATTTTAAATCACTGCCACCCCTGCACCTTCCCCAAACCCTCCCCAGGACTTACATCTCATCTCCCTGCTCCTTTCCTGCTGGTTGGAGCTCCTTTGGAATGGAAAAGGAACTGAACGAGGGGGAAAGACACAAAGAGACTGAAAATTCTGTAAAGCCTTGGAATTGGCTGCCCAGGGCACTGATTTCACCATCCCTGGAAGTGCCAAAAACCACGTGGATGTGGCACTTGGGGACTTGGTTTGATGATGAACACGCTGGTGGTGGGGGGTTGATGGTTACACTATTTTTCATTATTTTTATTTT